CTCCCTCTGTCCTTGGATGGCTCCTCTGTAGCCACAGCCAGCGCTTGCTGGTCTCTGGGAAGGCCACGCTCGGGAGACTTCAGGAACCCCCTTTGCCTTAGCGCTGGGGAGCAGAAAGAGTCCAGAAACAGCCCGTAGCCAGCCGTACTCACTACGGAAGTTGAGCATGGCGCCCCCAGTGGGGATTACCTGGTAGTGTGGAAGCCCAGAAGGCTGAATGCGGGCCTGGATTTGGTCACATGCACAGTGTTGGTTGTTGGGATCTGCAGGCGGCTGTGGTGTAGAAGTGTCTGTGCCCCGGGGTGGTGTGTGGAAAGCTTGGTCCCAACATGGTGACAGAAAGAGTTGGCGGGAAGTCCTCAGGGCCCTGGGGCTCGACCTGGGTTCTCACAGGAGCGCTGTCCTCCTCCCCCTGCCACCCTTCCTGTCCTGCAGCCACAGTGACCTTTCATCTGATGGTCACTGCCCACTGGTCCTGGATCCACTGTGCTTGGGGGCCATGTAAGCATCCCTGCAGGTGACCTTTACTACCCGGAAAGCCCAGGCACTTGGTTTACTTCTGCTTGGATCATATTTCATGGCTAATGGGATTGGCTAGGGCTGGAACCCTTAGCTGGAGCCATGATGGTGTCCAAACCTGCCCCACGGGTCACCTGCAGCAATGGGATCCCCCCAGGACAGTGCCCTGGCTTTACCTGACATAACCTGGGCCAGAGGAGAAGCTGAGAGAGAGCCGAGCTCCTGGTCACAGCGAGTGAGACCCCACCTGCTGGCCCACAGGAAGGTGATGAACGTGTGCTATCCTAGGTCACTCTGTGATGCTGTGGGTACATTGCATAGAAATGCGTGCATCTCTGGGTGCGGGAGAGTGTTTGGAGGATGACAGGGGTAAATTAAGGCTCCTCTTACCCACTCCCAGTGGTTCCCCACCATTCTAAGCAGGTGGTGGCAGCAGAAAGCCTGATGCCTTCAGGGTCCATGTGGACATGACCAAGAGGGTAGGGCACATGTGCATCAGGAGCAAGGACAAATCCCCTTCTCTGTGGCCCTGAAGCACAAAGACCCAACATGGCAGAAGAGAGAGGGGTCCCAGGGAGGACTAGATGTTTCCTCCAGCACCAAACGATGGGCCTGAAGCCAGAAATCCAATTTAAAGCAGACAAGGAAGTGATGTTTCTCTCACAGACTGAGTCAGAGGACTGAGGTTGATTCTGGTTGCAGAGGGAAACGGAGTGGAACCCTGAGCCTGTGGCCTGCAGCAGGGAAGCAGAGGGCAAAGAAGGCTGTGGTTCCTCTAGCCAAGGCCTCTGGGGCCACCTAAAGCTGGACGTGTGACTGCTGCAGGGTGGGCGTCCCCACTTGCATGGATCAGGACGTCTCAGGAAGAGCCCACGACGGATGGGACCCTGGTTAGGTGCGGGAGGGTCTCTGCTGGATGACACACCGTTAGGGTGTGGCACCTGGCAGCTCATCTCCGAGTGACCAGCTAGCACAAGGCTCCGGGGAGACTAGAACCCGGCAGCTGCTGCTCAGAGCAGCAGCACAGCTGTGTCATCCTCCTGTGGTCTTCCGCTGTGTGAGCTGCCGCCCCAGGATTCCAGAGTGAGGTCCCACTGTCGCCAGGATCCATCTTTCTCACCGTGGCCTTCGGTAAGAGAAGAGCGTCCAGACCTGCCTGTGAGTTCCACATGGCTTAGAGTGAGCTCAAACTCCAGATGGTGGCTCTGGGCCACTCCAGAAGGGTGGGGCTGCCTGCTCTCTCCCTGCTCTTGTTTCCTGGGAACTCCAGGCCAGGGCCAGGCAGGAACCCCTTTCCTCGAGCCGTCCTACCACACCAGTGCAGACATCCGGGACTGTTTATGGAGGGATCTTCCAGGGAGCCTCAGAAACTCACACCCAGGGCCACATACACGAGGCAGCATCTTTTGGAAAGCAGTTTTGGATGTCAACCAAGATGCTTTAACCCATGAACCCAATAACCTCTGGCAGTTTCTTGAAAGGAAATCTGAAATATTTTACAAAGCCATGAGTACAAAGATGTCCACTACTGAATTGTTTAAAAGAAAACAAGTGGTAGCCACCTAAACGCCCAACCATGACTAGAAATTAGGTAAACAGATTGCTGAGCAAGCACAGGCCTGAGTGTTCACAGGAAGCTGGTTGTCGAGTTCATGCAGCATTGCCCACTCAGCCTGTTTAATACCACAGTTACTTTAGCAAAATTAAATTAATTCATGTTTCTGTGACTTCCCTGCGCCCTAAGGGATTGTGATGTGTGTGTTTTCTTTTTAATCAAATACATGATGACAAACAATAAGGAGAGTCAACACAATTGCCATGAGGCTACTGGTAGAAAGAGGTAATAAAGGGAACAATGACTACTGCTTCTAGAAAGAACAGCACGGCCCCCTGTTCCTGCGATCCTTGGATCCCCGGGGCTCAAGGTCACACAGAGTCCAACGTCATACATGACTCAAGTTTTCTCATCTGAGACTGATACCAACCTTACTGGGTGTGGTAAGGGATTGTCCTCTTCCTGTCACTGTGATGGAATACCTGAGGTGGTCAGCTTGCGAAGAAAATTGTTTTATTGTGACTTCTGGTTCGGGAGGTTCAGTCCACGATGGGCTGGCTCCATGGCTTTTGGTCATGTGGGGTGGCAGCATGCCACAGTGGGGCATGGCCAGAAAGCAGAAGATCACAGTGAGGAGGGGCTGGGTTCTGCTGCCCCCAAGGGTGCCCACAGTGGCCTAACGACCTCCATGAGGCCCTACCTCTCGGAAGTCCCACTTCCTCCCAAGGTGCCACCCTGGGGACAAGCCTTTAACATGTGGGCTTTGGGGGACACTAGAGATCCAGATCATGCCAGGGACAGGCACAGTGTGGTGTTTGACAGAGTGCAGAGAAAGCGGATCCCACCACAGCCTCCATCGGGGGACAAATGCCTTCTGCTGTGACTTCCAGGGGAGAAAGAAACTTGTGGTCATGGTCTTCATATTCTCTCCAGTTAAAAAAGGTTTACTCCTTGGAAAAGCTCATTGGGCCACAACTTGGCCCCATCAAATGCCTTTAGTCATTTTGAATGTTAACCATCGTATAGAAAGGACTGCGCCCCAACTCCGCATCGCAAGCTCACAGCAAGTACTAAGTGGTCGGGAACATGGCAGAAATCTTAAAATCCCAAGGTGATTGTCAGAGGTCCTTTGTCCTTCTTTCAGCTCCCTCAATAAGAAAACGAAATTACACTGTGCTTCGTCTTTGAGATCCTTGAATCTTCAGGTATAATTGGGGGTAGTGGCCTGGGCTGAGCCATGCAAGTTCTTTCTCTCCTCCCCCATGCCCTATGTCACCTTCCGGGGTCTCTGTAAACACTGGCAGAGGACTGAACAGGAAGGAAAGGAGCAACAATGGCAAGGTGACCTTGGTGAGAGCAGCCTGTTGCCTGCCACGTGCACAGAGAGGGATTCGTGGTGCACAGCCTCCTCCGCATCTGAGGGGAGCTGGTCAGATGGATCCAGCGACTCACACATACCCCAGACCCCAGCTCTGGCTGGACTTTGGGAGCGCTGCCTGGGAGGTGGGTTGAACTGAGGACCTCAGTCCCCTTTGGCTGTCTGGGTCACAGGGAACAGGAAGACGCTGGCCCCAGGCTGCTGTGTCAGTGAAGATAGTGTCTCTGGGCCCCCATGCTAAGCCGGGAAACAAGAGACTAGAAGCCCTGCTCAGGCCTCCGGTGGGAATAGCTCACCCACCAGGAGCTGCCTACCGACCAGGTCGTTTTATTGCTAAAACTTGTCACGATCCAGTCTGAAGTCTGAGAGACCATGGCTCCTGAGTGTTTCTGAGGAGCAGAAGGTGGGAGAGGCTGCCTCTAACCGGGCTTTCACTGGGTCCTTGGAACAGTCCTGAGCCCTCCGGCCAGAGGAGCTTCTGTCATCCTCACTGTGCCCCCACGGGGTGAAGCTCACTTCCTTCTGCAGTGACTCGCCCAGCCCACACCCATCCTGGTGTTTTCTGGGGAGGGAGGGCTTATGACCAAGCTGTGAACCCCAAGAGCTTGTGTGAAAGAATCGGAAAGGACTTTTTGGTGGGTTTTGTTTGTGTTTGTGCATTTTACCACGCTTGTTTGCAAACTAGTTTCTCTCCCCTTGGAGGGCACAGACACTGCCCCCAGCTCCCTTCCTAAACTACACATACTCCCAAGGAGCGGGAGGTCTCCGGCCCTCTACAACTGAGCATGAAGGATGGCCCAGCTCAACTCCTGCAGCCTGCGATCTTCTGGGGAAAGAGCAGTGGATCTGGAGGTCTGAGAAATGTCTGCTTGTAGAGCCTTTAATGGAGGAGGGGACCCTGCAGGGCTCAAGAATCATGAAGAGACCCTGGGAGGCAGCTGCTCTGTCCTTCGCCCCCGTTCTTTGTCTTGGGAAACTCAGTTTGAATTCAGCTGCAGTGACCTCCAGGGTGGCTTAAGGATGGGCAGGGAACCCACAGGGGCAGACACAGCCAGGAGATTCTAAGGCCTAGAAGCTGAAGCCGAGCAAGCCGCAGCTCCGAGAGCAGACTGACATTTTAGCAAGGCACCAGCACCTGCTCTAGTTTTGCTCCCAGTGGTTCCACTTTCCTTCTCTGTGTTGGTACCAAGAATTTGTCCTGCATTTCTGGGGGCCCTGGAAATGGACTCTGTTCAGCTGTGCCCTCTTAACTCTGATTTTCTTCTGGCTTACAGAGGGTCAGGGTCTTTGTGAGGTAAAAGGACGAAGGAGGAAGAGGACGAGGTGGGGGAGAAGGAGGAGGAGAAGAGGAAGAAGGGGAAAGAGAAGGAGAAAAAAGAAAGCTGCAAACGAAAGGAATACTCATTACGGCATTAAAGATTGCTCTGGTGGGATGCTGTACCAGATCTTCTTCTGGTGAATTATTAATAAAGCCTGTTTTTGTTTAATGCCTGCTAATAATTTCTAAAAACAGATCTACAACTTCAGCTGTAAATGCATGTCCATGAATCACTCTACTGAAAATCCAGTTGTACGGTTAGCAAAAACCTCTGGCAGACAAACAGCTCCATCTTTCCAGCCCTCCCCTCCTGCACCCCACAGAATGGCTGGGAGGCCAAGGAAGACTGCGAAGGGAAGAGGGCCTCCCCTTCCATGAAGGCCACTGGTGTTCTGCTCAGGACCCACGCCCCACTGTTACCAGGTCAGTCACTCGTGTCCTCAGCCACTCGTGGGTATAGAATCCATGCCCACAGTGGCCGGATACTGTGCGCAACACCAAGGGTCAGTGGCTTTCAAAACAGGTGCGGCCCTCGCTCACTGCTGGGACAAGCATGAGTCAGGTCCAGATGCCTGTGAGCCAGCAGGGGTCTCAGAGTCTGAGACCCTCGGCAGCGATGACTGAGCTTGGATCAGAGTGAAGTCAGCGACCACACCAAGAGAGGGAGGAGGAGGTGCCAGCACGGGCCAAGCCCCTGCAGCTGGGAAGAAAGCAGGCTGTGGCCACGGGCAGAGGAGCTGGGCCTTCCCGGCCTCCACGTCCGCCTGAGGCAGAGCAGTGGGAAGACAGTGTGGTGACGAGCCGAGGGGCCTGACTCCGTTTGCATTGTTTGTATTCCCTTGATCGCCTCGTGAAAACTGGCCAAGAGGGCAGGAATGGGCCAGACAGACCAGTGTCTCCACAGACACCGCGGCAGCCTAAGCCCAGGGGGGAGGTGCTGGAGAGAGAGCCAGGCCACCAGGAGAAAGACAGGAGGTCTAGGCTTTCCGGAGTGGAGAAGCTGTCCAGGCTCCCTGGCCTTTGCAACCGGCTGGTTAAACTGAGGTCACTCAGCCAGGGAACGGCCAGCGGTGGTTTGGTGAAAGCCAGTTAAGTTGTGCCCAGCTTGGGCTCAAAATGCCTTTCAGATTTCCAAGAGCTCCCCTCAGCATCCATTCGGCCGAAGCAGAGGCTGCCGACCCCAAACAGGCCCCCCGGAGAGGAGGGCAGAGCCCGACGCGTGGTGACAGGTGTGAACGCTGAAGCAGTGTGGGGTGGGGAAGGTGAAGCTGAGAAAGCGCTGCTGGGCCCAGCTGTGGGGCTCCAGAGAGCAGCCTGTGGGTGCAGAGCAGAGGGGGGCCACTGACACCAGGACAGTGGACTTGGGACTCCTGTCTGCTTGGTTTCATCAGGAAGGGAGGAAGTGGATGGGAAGAGGAGAAAAAGGTGTGAAGATTTGGCTTCGGTGGAAGAACTATGGGGGTGTCTAATCCCCAGCAAGCATGGTACACAGGTGGTGCCCACGGCCTCTGGAGAGCCCAGACACCAGGCTGTGCCAGTCGGACGAAGTCACTTTACTACTCAATACTTGCAGCGTAGAGGAGAGAGCTTCCTTCTGTCCGTGTTTGGCAGATGTGAGCACAGGTACAGAACGGCGGAAGGGTCTGGCAGAAGACGGCTGCTCACCTCATGGCCTCCAGGAAGCAGCGAGAGCAGGGAGGCGCCGGGTGGGGGAGACCCTTCCAGGTCACACCCCAGTGACTGCCCTTTCCTTCTGCAAGTTGCCACCTTCCACAAGCCCCGCCTCTGAGTACATGTGGCTCCCCAGGGGCATGAGACTAATCCAACACTGTCTTTATGATACTCCTAGGATGCCTGGCACCCGGGCAGCTTGCTTGCCTGTGGGACATCTGGGACCTGCAGGGGCAGTGCTGCCACCAGAGGGTGGACAGAACCCCATCCCTGATAGGGTGATTCTCATCTGGGCCTCATGCGGACCCCCAGGACGCGAGCCCCAGGGCCCTGAGCTGGGCGCCGATCTGCAGCCCCCTTCACAGTGACTCCTTTTCTGTCTGCCACCCCATGCTCCCTGCCAGAGTCACCCAAGCCCACACCCCAGGTCTCTTGGGGTGGGGACGGAACAGGTGTGAGGTGAGTACCCCAGGAAGGCAGGGGAGCAGGCGGACTCCGGAGCAGTGAGCCTCTGGGCCCAGAGGCTGGGCGGGGCCTCGTGCAGTCTGCTGTGTGCTCTGACGGAAGTGGCACGGCTGGGTCGGCAGCATGATGTCCCTGGAGGAGGTTGCAGGAGCTGGGGTGTGGATGAGCTGACCCGAGGGCAGAGGAGGCCCCGTGCCCAAGGCACTGCCTGAGGCTGTGGTCAGGAAGTCACTCAGCAGTCTCCATGGCACAGAGGAGACATGGCTGGGCTCACCCTAGGGGGCCACTGCAGGATGACCGAGCCCCCCGCATCCCACTTCCACACCAAGGAAAGGACAGGGCAGGGCTGGTGCTCCTGTCCCATCCAGGTCAGGAGTGGGTATTTTTGGTCCTTCAGGTCACACAGAAGTAGCTGCTCCTGGGCCCCTGCAGGGCAGAGCACAGAGCACCAGCCCTGACCCGGGCTTGGGATGAGGAGGAGGCTGGATGTGGTGGCTTCGGCCATGGTAGGGCAGAGCAGTGGCCACAAGAGTGGAGGAGGCCGAGGTGCCGCAGCCTGGGCCAGATGGTCACTGTGGACACTGCTGCCCCAGGCAGCTCAGGAGAGGGTAGAGAGACACGTGCTTGGCTCCAGGAAAGGCGGCCACAGTCTGGAAGGGGCCGGGGTGCTGGTGGAGGCCGGGGGCCCAGCCTGTGCTGTGAGCCTGTCCCACCGATGCCAAAGCTTCTGTGTCCTGCGGAGACTGAGTTCGTCCCCCTCGTGAACCCAAAGGAGCTTCAGGCCCTCGTGAGGCCATCTGTATTCCCTCCCCATTCCCGGCCAGGTGAATATCCCAGAAGCTGTTGGCTGCCCTGCCCTGGCCCTAGAGCCTTCTGCGACTCACCATGGCCCAACAAGTAAGTCCCAAGCTTCTCAGCGGGAAGTGGAAATCCGTTCTCGTGTCCCCGCCTCGCCTGCTTGAGTCCCCTCCCATCTCACATTTCTCCGTGCACCTCGTGCCCTCCATGGGGCTCCGTGGCCACAGTGGCAGCTGTGGGTGACCTTCGCCCACTGCCAGCTCAGACTGTCCTGTCTGCCACCTGCGCCCTTCCTTCCAAGAGGCCCAGCAAACACCGCCCACTCCGCTGGTGTGGGGTGGCTCCAGCAACCTCACACCTGGCTTCCACTGCAGGCTCCTGGGCCCCGGGAGCCTGAGAAATGGGGGCTGTGCCCAGCATGGTGGCCCTGCAGCTGCCGCTGGATGACATCTGGGCTCTGGGCAAAGGGCCGCATCCAAGGGGGAGCCACGGGCTGGGGACTGACTCTTCCCCTATACCTGGCTCCCTGCCAGGGATGCTGGGCCTCTGAGAGCGAGGACCACGCAGGAAAGCACCCCATGGCGCAGCTGCCCCGCCTACCAGCACCCCAACCGGGGAGCTCCAAGCTCTGGGCCTTGGAGACCCAGACTCGCCAGGTAGGTCCGGCTCCTCTCCCTGGAACCCCAGTCATTGTAGGGGCCCGTGGGGCCGCTCCCTCATCCATTCCGGCCTCCCTGAAATTGTGCTTAGAAACCCTTAATTGCATTTCAGAGAGAACCCTGCCAGCCGGTGGCCGGAAGAGAAACCAGAGAGAGAGGCTGGTGGTCAGGCTCTTTGCTTGAAATCAATCAAACCTCTGCAACTAATGCAGCTCTGGGCTGCTCCTCAGGAAGCATTAGGCCTATTAGTGCGGCTGCAGGAGCAGGGACGGGATATTTATGGGCTGGGCACGGAGGCGGTAGCTGGGAGGGACGGCACAGGTCAGCAGTTTGTGCGCCCACCAGGGATCCTGGCCAGCTGACTGGTCTCCACGCACCATGCCCGGCCAAGCGAGGACTCTGCCTTCCAGGCCTGTGCCGGCCGTGGCTGGGAGACCAGAGAAGTTGTCCAGTCTTCCAGGCTCTGAATGGCAGCCTCTTCTCCTCTTCCTTTCCTCCTCCTCCTTATTCTTCTCCTCCTTTTTTTTTTTTTTTTTTTTTTTTTTTTTTTTTTTTTTT